TCCTCGGCAGCAGAGCCCCGAGACCTCCAGTACGCTTCCATCAAATCATCGTGGTCCTGGCCATCGGACTCAACGTGCACACAAGCCGCCCATCGGGCGGATTCTTGGGCTAAAAACTTAAAGCCTTGCCAAAACTGAAACTGATCCTCACCCACGCCGTGCTCCGCAGCACCTAGCTTCGCAAACCTGTCGGCGTGGGCGTTCCCTCTGTACTCCCACTCAGTGGTAGCACCCGCATCTACCTGGGCCCTGGTGCAATGGGCCTTGGTTTTAAAAACTTGGAAGTCCCCTTCCGAGAACGCTCCCCAGAACGGACTCCAGAGCTGGGCCCGACCACAACTGCTTTGGGATCCTGCGCCCGCGCCGCCACGGAGAGTCCCAACAGTGCCTGCACAGTCAATGAAGACATCGAAGGGCGCCATAGCACAAACACGCAGCATCGAGACGGCGTAATCCTCCGCGTCTCTAGAACTCTGCTTAGGGCACACACTGCATGGGACGGGCCCGTAGGCCGCCGAAACTGCATTTCCAAACCTATCTACCTGCACGATGGCCCAGCCCGCTCGGGCCAAAAACGGAGCCGAGGCCCATAAGGCCGAACCGTCTAAGAACAGCGTGCCACTCAGGAGCCCTGACTCAGGTCTGTTGTGCCACAAGATGGTCTCTTGGGCCTCGGTCAAGACGGGGAAGACCAACTCTGGCGACGGGAACAGGCCTCTCGCAAACCTCTCCCCCTCGTCGTACCCCCATTCGCGGGCCCTGCGAGCCCTCGTCCTGTGGAAGTCGTCAACCCATTCACGCCTGAGCCCTGCATGCTTCGGGCACTCGTAGGCCCTGTGCCACAAGGACCCTTCTGGATCACCACATACACAACACCTCGCTGAGCCGACAAGTCCATGGTGGTGGAGCCGACTTTGTGGCCAGTGTCCTCCAGAAACCAAGGATCTCAACGTCCTCTGAAACCTCTTCGTCCAGGATCCCTTGGTCCGATGCAGGAGCCCCTCAAGTCCTGCCCAAAATATCGGCATATTCCACCTGGCTTTGGGCTCACGACAAATAAGAGCTTGCCGATCAGAAGCTCGCCTGGCGCCTGCAACTGCTAGCTCCTGAACGAGCGCTGGAGGTAAAACTCGAAGGTCTAGTGCTTCCTGCCGATCCGTGACCATGCACGCACCTGACCGCAAACTCCAGCCTATTCTGCGAAGACTGAGAACGGCTACTTCAGCTGGGGCTGCTGCTAACCTCCAAGGTGTTTGAACTCCTTCGAGACGGCCCAGGGCTCCTTCCAGACACCGTTCCAGGACAGGAAGCTTCGGAAACGACTCCCAGACCGCTGTCGCCCATTGGAACACAACCATCCCGACGTTCAACAGCAGCGGGTCCACTCGGACCCCTTCAGCATAGCTCTGGAGACGGAGCCCGACCGTGGAGCCCTTGGGGACCTTCCCGAGACTTCCAGCAGCTCCCAATCGAAGACGATGCAGTTGGGTCGAGGGAATCCCCATGATGCTGGACCCCATAGAGCCGACGCTGTAGGGCCTCCACGTTGAATGAACCCCGTGTTGGCCCCCGCCTCCCTGAGCTTCTTTATCTTAGCCGTCCTCCCTCTGGCCTTGTCCCACCTGTCCCGAGTGATCTGAACCCTCCGTAGGGGCCCCATCACCGCGTCGGTGCCGAGGTTCCTTGCATGATCCACCTTGCTTTCCTTCGGGAGGTCCCACAGGGGCTGCAAGGCCTCATTCAAATCCGAGTCGCTAGTCATGTACTTCGACTTTTCCGAGACGGGGAGCTCGAGCTCCGAGAAACTGGACAACAGGGACTGCACACCTGAGGCGAGCTGCGGTGCAATGAGCTGCTGCGGACCAACAATCTGCAGCGCGATGTCGTCCATCACGTTTCTGATGCACAACTGTGGCCGGCCAGACTGCGCGGCCGCGAGCGGCGATAACAAAAGTAACTTCGTAAGCGTGGTAGCTGCTGAGCACCCTGCGATCACTGCCCCATTACCTTGCACCTTCCTAGATACCGCCCCTCCATAGTGCAGCATCCTATCCCCGGCATAAATCACGCACAGCCCTCGCAGGAGCTTCAAATTGAAACCATGCTGGCACGCCGCACGATACAAGTCCATATGGTCGATGTGCTCATAGAACTTCTTAAGGTCCAGAAGCACCGTCGCCGCCGAGGTCCCCAGGACTTTCCCGAAGTGGGCCAGCATGTTATGGACCCATCCTGCTCTCTCGCAGGTTGACGTGGCCCCGACGCCCCAGAAGAAGGCCTGCTCGTGGGCCTGTTCCCAGGTACGGCAGATGTTTTGACGACACTTCGACCAAATCTTGGTGAACATGCACAATAATCCTATCGGGCGTACTCCACCATCTGGCTTGTCAAGGAAGATGATATTCGTCAAAAACTCTGCAATCACACAAGGTCGATCTTCGAACGAGTGAAGGATGTCGATAACACGCAATTGATATTCCTCTGGAAGAAACAAGATCTG